ATCGTGGCAAGCGAGGTCCCTGCAGAGCAGAGGGGGTGGCGGAGGCGGCGGCATAGCCTCGGCGGCGACGGCAGGCGAGCTGGAGTCTGCTTCTCCTCGCTGCAATAAAATGAAGGGTCAGATGCAGTCCGGGCGAGCCAGAGGTTTCCGCGTCTCTGCCCCAGACCAGAGCAGTAGAAGGCAGGAGAGACTGAGAGTGCACGTCGCCCACTTCTCCACACCCGGTGCGGGCAGTGCACACACCACACCGCAGCTCCCCCCTTCCCCCGCCAGCAGCCCCCCTTCCTCCTCCTCCTCCTCCTCAATTCTTCGCAAATCAGTTAACTTTTTCTTCTGCTTCCCTCTGGAATGGAGAAGTGATCGGACATTCTTTACGGGGAAGAAGGGGAAATGTCTCCGGACGAATAAGAGACACGCAGATTTTAAGAGACTCTCGGCTCCTTCTGGTTGGTCTCCAAGCGAAAGAGGAATGAAGGCGGGGGTGGATTTGGGGGGTCATTTTCTCTCCCTGCCCCCGCACCGACGTTCAGTGCAGGCTCGCTCGGCCCCTCCCCGGCTGTGCCCCGAGGTTCCTTGTCGGCAGGCTGAACTGCTTATGTGTCAAAGCCACGGTCGGTCACCTGAAGTTCACCCGGGAGGGGGAGCGAGAGGAGAGGAAGGGAAACTAAGACTCTGGCGGGTGGCGAGTGCCTTGCGAGAGGGGCGCTTGTGTGCGTGGGAGGGTGAGTGACCGTGCCCTCGTCGCAGGAGGAAGCGCGATCGATTACTTCCCCTCCATTTGTATAATTGACGATAGTTTACAGAGGGAAAGACTCCCGAGACTATCAAAGCCCCCTCCCACTTTTTTTCCCGCCGATCTGTCCTACGATCACATCACTTTTCCTCTCTCCTGCCTCCCCCCTTCCCTCCCGGAATACAGGATCAGCCTGGCACACATGATCCGAGGCTGAGGTGGGGAGAGACATGGCATGGCCATGGCAGGGCACTTCGGGGAGCGCGCGCACACAGCGCTCCTTTCCCTTGCCGCGTAAACTCAGGGCTGAAGGGCTTCCTGTTTGACCCCTCCCAGCACAGGGCTCGATTCCAACGCTCGCGCCCCGCCGTCGGCCTCACGATTTTAAAACGAATATATTTATAGTTAAAGTGAGAGCCTTGCTTCTATATAAAAACCTAGTTCAGGAAGCTTGCATAAGTGAGTTTCCTGAACCCGCAAAGGACTCCTTTTGCTGTACTACTACCCTATTCTCTAGCTCACTGGCAGAAAAAAAAGGTGATGATAGTAATGATTAGCAAGAATCTGAGAAAGGAGAGAGAGAGACCTCTGTGTTTTAAAAGTGCCTAGTTGTGAAATACCATAGAGACCAATGTATGAGCAAATGAGAATTTTAAATAAAAAGTTGTTTTGTTTTTAATTGGTGTGTGTGTGTGTGAGTGTGTGTAAAGTCTGGGCACAGAGTTTGGAAGGCCTGTTGTGTTTGCTGTTGAAGAGAGCAATGCAAGCAGCTGCAAACTGCCCTGCTAGTGACCTTGACCTGGCCCTGGCGCTGCTGCCCTTTCTGTCTGTTTCTCCAGGGCAGAGATGAAATTCTGTCTCCATTTTAGCTCATTCAGGAAGGATTTGTCTTGCAAACAGGCGGTTTCTGCTTTTGCTTTTGCATGTATCTGTATTTTAACCTTACCCCCGCCCCCCCCCCGAATTGCAAGTTTTATTGCTCATTCAGGCCAGCTGCTTGTAGGGAAGTGAACATTTATTAAACTACAAGGTGCAGTGGCCTTTGGGAACATAGACTGTGAAAAACCCAGCTTTTAAAAATGTGGTACATTATCATGTTTCTTCAGCTTTGATGCTTAGTTTTAATACATTCTAATGATTTTCAGATATGTGTGCCTCAGAAAGGGAAGGTTGTATTTATCCTCATTGCTAATGAAATGTGAACCTGCCTTTGCTCCACTTTATCATCAGTATGTTTGGCAAAATAAAAATGTTTAATATGTTATTAAAGCTTCCATGAAACATGAGAATTGTGTGTGTGTGTGTGTGAGGCATTTGTGATGTTTGTTTTCAGTGGGAAGTTTAGATAAATTTGTTATGTTATCTTTGAAAAGAACCTAAGTATTCTACAGTTCACAATAAAGGAAGTGACAAGCTGAGCTTACTTCTCAAAGAACCAGTCACACTGAACTTGAAATAACTTATTTCTGAACAAATGTGTTTTAAACTTTGCATATATTTTAATCAGTGACTGCTTTTAAGCATGAGAAATTAACAAACATGTCCAATGCTAGCTAGGTGTGTTTAAACATGTGATAATAGTTTGACTTTATTTGAGAGTAAATATAACTAAGGATTTAGGTGATTGATTGGGTCTTAGACTTTTTTTTTATCCAATATTGCATTTCAGAAATGATATTGATAAAAATAAAATGCCATCATACTAATGTGCTTGACTTTTGCAAGTGCTAAAAAAGACAATCAGAGCAAAGGTGATTTTTTTCTTTTGCAACCTCACCTTCTGGAATAAAATGAATTGATCCAGTTCAAGGCAAGTGTTGGAAGAAAATCTAGGAAGCCTTGTTACTGGTTCTCTGAAGAGAAGAGGGAAATCTACAACTCTTGTCAGTTTCACTTCAGCTCTGCAAACCTGGGAAAAGTTGCAAATATTTGCAGTTTTGCAGCTGCAGTAGCAAACAGCCATGGTTAGAGCTGTTGTGAAAAGTGCTTGGTTGCAAAAAATATCAAAATGCTAACCTCTTGACTTTTCCATTCACATTGGCTCTTAAATAGAAACAGAAGGAATGACATCCTTGCAGCCAGGAAGGTTCCCCTTGAAACAATCAAAATAATTTTTTTTTTCTTCCAAATGGCTAAACAGATCCACACATCATGTACTGAAAATATGAGTCTGGGGTGGTGGGGAGGGAGGATTTTGTTACTTTCCTATTCATCAGCAGGAGAGAGCACTGAGAGATCTCAGGGTGTTCTTATGGATGTTCTCTGTGTTTTAAATTTGGCAGAATTGAAGGAGATTGTTGGTCAGTTTCAAACTGCTTTGAGGGAATGGGGAGTGAAAATAGTGTAGTGTACTCTTACTTCATATGTGTGGGGTATATATGTGTGTGTGTGTATACACACACACACACGATTACAGCTATATATTTTAATTCTGTTTTCTATTTTTTTAAGGAGGAGACATTTGATAATGTCTGATGGTTCTACTAGTGGTTTTCTTTGAACCTTTTTCAATTTATGGCTGTCTCACCCGAATGAAAGAAAAAAATATTTACCATTTATAGGGAACATTTGGTATGCATTTTAATAGGGATGGTAGGTTGGTAATTATTGCTTCTAATTTTGAAGGTATAGGCTAAGGGTTTGAAGTTGTTTTTATCCATAAAAGTAGCAGAAATGGATAGGGGATTAAAACTATGCTCATAGGTTAAAAGTTCCCTCTCAAATTTTTTAAAATATGTTTTTCACCTCAGTCAGTATTGCCAGTAGCCAACACACCTGGAGGGCATAAGTTCCTTGTTCTAGTTTTATTCTCATTTGTTGGAAAATCTGTTCAATATTACACTATCTTCCCTCATACTTGGAATCAATCCCAGAGGAAGTATGGGATATGAGCAGCAATGAAAAGCACAAATTATTTTGCATACGTTATTAATAATAAGTAAGTATACTAGCATGTATAGAAGTCTCCAGTTTTGCTAAAGTGAGTTATTCCGATAAAATCACTGAAGGGGAATGATGGGGTTGTAGATGTCTGCTAGATTCTGCTTTTGTAAAATAGGGATGGAAGCGGTATATATGTGGGCAATAGGTCATTGTAGGGCATGGAAGGGAACCTTTGGATAGCTGAGGGCTTAGTGTTTGGGGGAATGACACAAAGTGGGAAGACCTGGAATTTTTCTAAGTTTCAGGTGGGTTCTTTCTTTTCTAACTCTGTTAATCCTATTTTAGGAGCTATATTACAGTTACATGCTTCTTGCTTCACAGTGGAAGAAAACTGTCCTTTCAAATTTCAGCAGCATGGTCAAAAAGATGCTAAAGATTCAAAAAGAGACTCTTTGGAGCTACACACAGTCCTGAGACTGTAGATTATCCACTGTTGCTCTAGGGAAATAATAGTTGTCAAGTGATAGAAAGTGTAAGTGAAGATGTAATTGGAGCTGGACAGGAAAGGAAGAAATAGTACAAATGGAAGAGGGGAATTAATTATATCCAATGTGAAAGGTTGGAGGCTTTGGAAAGTTTCATAATATAAAGGAGAACAAATCCAAAAGGTTTGCAAAATACATTTCTGATCATGTAGTGTATGAACTTGCCTGGAACAGCACTCTAAGCTCTGACTTGGAAGTGAGAGTTTGCAGATATGTATCCTACCAGCTAGAGGTAAAGATGCAAATAGGAAGGTTTACAAGCAGACTTAACTTCATAGAAACAAGAAATCATAAATGATCTGTTGATCATTGCCTGCAATTTTAGCAGTGCCACACAAGATAATTTTTAAGCTGTTCTAGTTAAGATAAAACTTTGATTTCTAAATCTTAGCAATGTATGTGTTAGCAAAGAGATCAGTGGAGTTTAATGGCTGAGCAATGAATGTAGGATTCCAGTTTTAAATTTATGATCTTTAATGAGAGAAATGAAATAATTCATATGCATGGATAGTCAGAAGAAAATCCTACTGCGTATGATGGGACTAATTCCCAGAAAATGGGTGCAGGATTACAAGATTTCAGTATAATATGTTACAACTCCACTTTGCTACTTATCTCTTTCATGAATCAGAGTTTACAGCAGATAGCTTTTTAGAGGCCATGTGAATGCTCTCATAAACTGTGCCAGCTTTTTGCTGTTGTTGTTAATGCGTAATAAAATACTGGGCTAGCTAAGAAGATTGACTACAGTTTTAAACCGTATATGCTTCAAGAAAAAAAGTGAGAACGCATTAAGTATATATAAGCAAGCAGCCTGGGATGCAGCAACTACAATCAGTAGAAATAATTATTCTACGCTATATACCATTTCCCCCCCCTTTTTATTATACTACACTTTTGGAAGTGCTAGACTTTATTTATATCATTAACTTTATTTCTATATATCCTTATTGCTGTGTTCATATATATATATAAACCCAACATACTGTACCTGAATAGTGAGCACCACATTAAAGTGTGGGAAATAAAAAATATCATGGATGCACATGTTAAAGATGGGATAGGTTGATGTAGGGAGAGACTGCATCTACAGATGCAAACTAACTTTAGAAATCAATGGATAGTAGATGTATGTTATTGCTCTTGGTGAAATAGCTGCAAAGGGGTGCTTTATGGTTCCCTGTGCCACAGAATCATGATCTTGTGAGGTTTTGTGACACAGGTAAACTTTATGTGTCAGTATTGCCTGGTAATAGAGCCAGTTTGCTGTAATGATTAAGGCATC